TTCGATTCATTTCTTACTTATCAATTTTAAACAAATCAGACTTATCGAGCTATAAATGAGCTCTACTTCTAAATGTTCATTAGCTTAATAAACAAGCCTTGTCAAGCCTTTTTTTAAAAAAATTAGCGAAGTTTTGTCATGCCTTAAAAAAAAAGCCTTGTCAAGCCTTTTTTTAAAAAATTACATCGAGCTTATTCGTGAACATATCTAGCGATGTTTTTTTAAACTATCAAACAAGCTCGTTCACAAACATATCTAATGAGTACTCTTGATCTATCAAATGAGCCCAGTCATGAACATGCCTATTACTATTTTTGAGCTACCAAATGAGCTCGTTCACAAACGAACAATCTATGATTTATCTTATATTTATTCAAAGAGTGGATTTTTTGTGATTTTAGATGGATGTGAGAAGTAAATATAAATTATTAAACGATTTTAAATGGTATTAGAAAAAAAAAATTATTAAATTTAACAATATATTTTTTAAAACTCTATTATAGTTCTAATTGAGCTTCTTAGTCGAGCTCTAATTGAGCTTCTTAATGAGTTTATTCACAAGCGTTAAACGACACTGTTCATGAACATAAACGAATGAACACCAAGTTGTTCAAGCTTGTTTATTTAGCTATCGATTATTTATCAACAGTATTCAAGCTCGTTCGTTTACATTATCAAACAAACATGAACAAACTCTTATCAAGTCGAGCCACGAGTAGTTCGTTGAACGCTCGGTTCATTTACATGGCTAGTCAAAGGACCATGATAAGATGACAAAGGTTAGAGGGCCATAGTGGGGCGACAGTGGTCAGATGATCATTATTGGGTGATAGTGATTGACGGATCATAGTCATGTGACAAAGGTCAGATGATCATAATTGGGTGATAATGATGGCCAGGAATATAGTCAAGTAACGATGCTCGAAGAATAATAAATGGGTGATAGTGGTAAGAGGCTCGTAGTAGGTGGTCACAAAGGTCCAATGTTGGTGATTAGATGCTAGTGGTGACATAATGTTGATTTGATGATTATGGTCATATGGTAATGATTCGATGATAATGACTTGATGACAGTGATCTAATGGCAATGATCTAATGATGATAGTTTGATAGTGGTGTTCCATTAGTGTTGTTTGTTGACAGTGGCCCAATTGTAGTAATAGGACGATGGTGGTTTGATAATAGGTTGAACAATTTTGATTCGGTGGAGCTTCGTGATACTTTTAGCCTCTAAGTTCCTCGTAACTCAAATGAACTTCCCATTATGTACATAGTATGGCCTATTAATAGAATTTTAAGAGTGATTGTTCTCATAAATATAGCCATGCAAAGACTCGAACAAGGGTGGATGGAAAAAAAAATTAAAAAAATTGGGATATGGAAGTAATAGAACCGGGATTTAATGAATAAAAAACAATTTTAGGTTTACGTAAAGTCCTATTCGCTCTTTCACAGGCTGCATCGCGCAGCCGCTGCAGCCGCTCTTTCACGTTTATTCACGCAGGCTACGCCGCTGCTGCGCTGCAGCCGCTCCTTTCACCGTTCCTTCGTGTTTCTTCCGGCGATGCAGGCGACCGGCGACGGCGGACGACGGTCGGAGTCGGAGACCGAGACGAGCCGACGACTTAGAAGTTCATTTAGAAGTTTTACCTGTTTCACCGAGACGACGAAGGTATTTTTTTAACAAAAACCTGTTTCACCGAGACACCGAAATACCGAATGACCTCATTTAGAAGTTCTAAAGAAACTGATGTCTCTGACTCTCTCTCTCTTGTCCAAGGAGGCAAGGACGCGACGACTCTTTCCTACTTCTGCCTTCCGAGGACAAGATGCTTGCCTTTGGCTGGACCTGATGTTTGGTCGAACTTCGGCCGTGAGGACGTGAGGTTTTTTTTTTTTCTTTAATTTTTTCATTTTCTGCTAGAAGTCTAGAAGTCATGACCTGCAATTAATTTAAATTATGCATTCATGCCTTAGTTTTGGTTGATTTTATAAGTTTTATATTTTGGTCATTTTTTGAATAGATATATAATCAGATTAATGTTAAGGAATCTTTGAGTTGGAATATTATGGAGAGATATTTCAAACGATCATCGGTTTCAAAAACATCAAATGACAATAGCAATCAAGTTGAAGATCATAAAGAAAAGCGTATTCGAGTGGAAACTGATTTACTTAACAAACTAGAAGTAAGCATTGAAAATCTTCCATCTAATCCAGGACTACGAATTCCCATTATTGATTTTAATCCTAATATTCGGGATGAAGTTCGAAGACTATATTTATAACGAGGGCCATTTCAACTGCGTAGTCATGATTTTCCAAAAACTAAATTCAGGATGAAAGACAGAAGATTTAATCCTACTTGGTTTGACAAGTATTCAAATTGGCTAGAGTATAACATAAGCAAAGATAAATCATACTGTCTTTATTGTTATCTATTCAGAAAACCAGGTAGAGGCAATGAAGATGAAGAAGCATTTAATAAAAATGGATTTTCAAATTGGAAGAAAACAAACAAATTTGATCTTCATGTAGGAGGGCAAAATAGTGCGCATAATAATGCTAGACGTAGTTCTGAAGATCTACTAAAACAAAGTCAACATATTGGATTTGTGTTCCAAAATCAAACAAATCAAGCTACATCTGCATACCGTATCCGCCTCAATACTTCTATTGATTGCATAAGATTTCTTTTAAAGCAAGGGCTAGCTTTCCGAGGTCATAATGAGTCTTCTACATCCAAAAATTAAGGTAATTTTCTAGAACTATTGCAATTTTTTGCTGAACATAACAAAGACATAGACGATGTGGTTTTAAAGAATGCTCCTGAGAATTTAAAGTTAATTGCACCTGAAATTCAAAAAGATATTACTAGATCATTTGCTATTGCTATTACAAAGTTTATATCAGAGGAGATTGGTGATAAATTCTATTCAGTTTTAGTTGATGAATCACGTGACACATCCGCTAAGGAGCAAATGACAATCATAGTTCGCTTTGTTAATAAGAAAGGCAACATAGTGGAACGATTTTTGGGGATTTCTCATGTATCAAATACTGCTGCAAATAGTCTTAAATTGGTGACTGAACAACTACTATCAACATATGGTTTGAGTATATCTAGAATACGGGGTCAAGGCTATGATGGCGCTAGTAATATGAGAGGGGAGTTTAATGGTTTGAAAGCTCTCTTTCTGAATGAAAATCAATCTGCGCATTACATTCATTGTTTCTCACATCAACTTCAATTAGCATTGGTGGCGGTGGCGAAAAGTCATGTTCATATTGCTTTGTTGTTCACTAACATTTCAAGTGAAATGGATCTTGTTGGTGTTTCTTGTAAGCGTCGCGACCAAGTTCGATAAATACAACGTGAGAAGATATTAAATGAACTACAAAGTGGAAATCTTTTATCTGGGCAAGGCTTAAATCAAGAAATAACACTTAGGCGTGCTGGTGATACGCGGTGGGGTTCACACTATGAATCAATTTTGAGATTAATTACAGTGTTCTCTACAGTAATTGATGTTTTGGAAATCATTTTGGAAGATGGCTTAAGCTCAGAACAAAAAGGTGAGGCATATGCTTTATTAGAATCTTTACAGACGCTTGAGTTTACTTTTTGCCTACATCTTATGAAAGATATTCTTGGTATCACTAATGAACTATCACAAGCTTTACAGAGAGGAGAACAAGATATTATTAATGCTATGTCTTTGGTTCGTATATGTAAAAAAAGACTGCAGGATATGAGAGATAACAAGTGGACCGACTTCATCAATAATGTAACCTCATTCTGTTAGTAACAAAAAATCAATGTTCCACATATGGATGACAAGTGGGTTGCTCGTGGTCGGTCACGCCGTAGAGCTCAAGATATAACAAATTTATATCATTTCCGGGTTGAAATTTTTTACATAGTGCTTGTTATGTAGCTTCAGGAGTTAAACAATCGATTTACAGAAGTAAATACCGAACTGTTATTGTGCATTGCATGTTTGAATCCTAATGATGGATTTCATGCATTCAACAAAGACAAGTTGATTCAAATGACACAGTTTTATCCAACTGATTTTAGTCTTGTTGATCGGGCGGTTCTTGAAAATCAATTGGATACTTATATCATGGATATGTGATCTGATGATCAGTTCACCTCATTAAAAGATGTTGGAAGTCTTGCTGAGAAAATGATCCAAAGTAGGAAGGATATAATATATCATGTTGTTTTTAAACTACTAGAATTGGCATTGGTATTAACTGTTACTATAGCCGACGTTGAAAGAGCATTTTCTGCCATGAATATTATAAAAAATTGGCTGCGAAATAGGATTGGCGATCAATTGATGAATGATTTATTACTTGCTTATATTGAAAAAGAAATTTTGGATTCTATTGATAATGAAGTTATCATTCAACTCTTTCAGAATATGAAGAGTAGACGTTATAAATTGTAAGTTGTTTACTATCTTGTATTTAATATTATGTGTTTTGGGATAATTATTAATAAAAAATTTTTAAAACTGTCTATGTCGGTCCCAAGCCCGGATGAAAAAAGTTGAGAGAAAATTTTACTAAGTTAATTTAGGCCCCCCCTTTCCTGGCTCCGCCACTAGACTCGAACACTTTATTATGCGACAAATATTGATTCACTCAATCTTAGATTATTCTTTCAACATTCAAATGGTTGATTTGAACTCATTTGGAGTTAAATTATATTACCTTTGGTTTTGATTGACTCTTCACACTGAGAAGTCTAATTTGACTAGTCCATATGATTCTAAATTTAGTTCTAAAACCTTTTAATTCAAATATGCATAAAGATTCGTCCCTAATCGAACTGATTTTTTATGGCATATCAACATACATATCATATGAATTTACTGTTTTTATATATCTAACATTTATAAAGTAAATAAAAACATTTATAAATTAGATATATAAATATATAACAATATATATCTAATTTATGGTAAGTTTGTAAATTCCCTTCTCAAATTTCGTCCAGGAATTCAACTGAGTCGCATTATTCTTGATTTGGAGTCTTTATCATTCAACTAAGCAAAGTCGATGAAAATAGGAATTGGCCTACAAGAAGCAAGATTTAAAAGAAAGCACGTCAGAGAGTTCACGCAATTTTCGACGACGACCCGTTGCCCAGAAGAACACAGAGAAGAGAATGGCATCTATTTACGGTCGGCCATGGCGAGCTCTTCCTCTCCTAATCTCATCCTCATAAACCAACTTCTTCCCATACTTAAAAAACCTCGAAAGCTCTCCCAAATTCTCCAAATCCATGCCCAATCCATCATCAACTCCCTGCTACTACAGCGGTCCTTTGCAAGTCGACTCCTTTTTGCTTTGTCCCAACTTCCTAGCCATTCATCATCGAAATCTACAGCTTCCTATGCAGAGCTCATCTTCTTACAAATCCAAAACCCCAACTCCTTTCTATGGAATACCATAATTAAGATTCACGCACAGAGCTCAAAACCTTGCAAAGCCATCCATTTCTTCATCCAAATGCGGCGACATGGCGTTGATTTTGATGATTATACATACCCTTTTGTTCTCAGTGCCTGCAGCTCGATCCCAGGGCTCGAGCAAGGTATTGCCATTCATGGAGAATTGCTGAAAAGAGGAGTTGAGGCGGATTTGTTTGTGAGGAACTGTTTAATTACTTTGTATTGCAGGAACGGTGAGATCTCCCTGGCTCGGAAAGCTTTCGATGGATTCGAAGCTAAGGATTTGGTCTCCTGGAACTCAATGATGGCTGGATATGCAGGTTGCGGTCAAATGGTTGAAGCACAGAAACTGTTTGATGAAATGCCTGAAAGGGACAATTTCTCTTGGGCCATCTTGATTGATGGATACGGCAAGAGGACTGGAAACGTTGAGCGTGCTCAGCTGCTGTTCGACGAACTTCATTCAAAGGATATAGTCATCTGGAATTCAATAATCAACTGTTATGCTGGTGCAGGAAACATGAGCATGGCTCGAGAACTGTTCGATAAAATGCCAAAAAGGAATGTGATTTCATGGAGTATCCTAATTGATGGTCATGTTCGACATGGTGATCCAAAGGAAGCCCTGATCCTCTTTCAGCAAATGCTCCGGTACGGCACGAAGCCTGATAGAGTTGCAGCGCTCGGCGCGATCGCATCATGCGCTCAATTGGGTGCACTTGATCAGGGATGCTGGGTCCATTCCTATCTGAAAAAGAACAAATTTTTTCTCGATGACATCATCCTAACAGCCTTGATTGATATGTACATGAAATGTGGGAGCTTGGAAGTGGCAAGAAGGCTTTTTGAGAAGATAAACAATATAAGTGTTGTGGCTTGGAATGTGATGATAGTAGGACTTGGGATTAATGGTCATGAAATTGAGGCTGTTGAGGTTTATCACAGAATGATAAGAGAAGGTGCATTCATGGATGACTTAACTTTCCTTGGTGTCCTCACAGCCTGCAGCCATGGAGGCTTGGTCAGTGAAGCAATGAGGATATTTAGCAGAATGAGGAATGATTTCATGATTGAGCCTAAACTGGAACATTATGGTTGCTTGGTTGATCTCCTTGGCCGTGCAGGGAGATTAACTGAAGCTTTCGGCGTTATAAAGATCATGCCCATGGAACCCACTGCAACCTTTTGGGGCTCACTTCTTGCAGCTTGTCGAAAGCATAGGTGTGTGGAGTTGGCAGAGCTTTCTGTTAGAAAGCTTGTCAGTCTTGGAGCGGATGATTGTGGCGTTTATGTGCTGATGTCTAATGTTTATGCAGATAAAGGTATGTGGGATGATGTGTGGAGGATGAGAAGGTTGATCAGTGAAAGAGGGATGAATAAGGAGATTGGAAGGAGTGTGGTGGAGGTTGATGGGATTGTTCAGGAGTTTGTGAGCGGGGATTGCTCACATCTTAGAGAGAGAATTTATGAAGTCATATGGAGTTTGTCTCTTGCATTAGATTGGAGTAATTAGGCATCCACTTTGCTATTAGGTTTAAGTAAATAGTATTTGCCTGATAAATGTATTTTAAATTCTTGAAGGTCCCATCAATTTGGACTTGGGAAAATTTTTAGACTAAGCATAATTAATACTTGTATTAAACATTTAAGATTGTTTAAAAAATTAAAGTAGGAAAAGTCGTCATTTAAACGAGCAACTTATGCTGATTAGGCACTGCTAAATCAGCTAGTCGTTATCATAAGAAAATTAGGTTTAATATAAGTCGCCGAAATAATCTGTGACTTATGTTAGTCGTCCATTCAACATGTGACTTACATTATGAATTTAAAAAAGAAGAAGAAGAAATTGTTATGTGATGACATTGAATACTGAAGTAGTAGTTGTGACATATATGATTTAAGACATGTGATTTGAGTTGTAAAGATTTGTTCCATAAATATTAAAGAAGATATTTTCTTCCTAACTAGATCTAGAAAATATTATGAAAAATCTAGCACAACCCAAAGACTAATCTAGCACAACGAAATTTACAACCACTATAACTTGGTTTCTCTCTTAAGTTTTAACTCTAAAAAATACATATGCATTTACAACAAATAATAAACAACAAACAACAAAAAAACTAAAATTTCTACTTACCCAATGTGTCCAAACAGTTGGCCAAACACGAATAGCAAGCTAGGGCACGGACGAACTTCGACGACATGATAATGAGAAGAAGCTGTAAGGATGGGGGGATTTTAACAAGGCATAATTATGCATGCCCAGTCACCATGTCACGTCGTCCATTGACCATATGACTCGGGTCAAAGTCGCCCAATAAACATGCTACTTTGCCTACTTTAAAATTTTATTAATGATGTTCTTAATCACTTAATACAACTTTAATTAAAAATTTTTCCTATCAAAACCATAGGGGGCAGATCTATGATTCCATCTTAATATTTTGTCGGATGAGCATGAGGAGCTCTTGTTTGTTATATGATTAAGACAATGATAAGGTCAAGCGCCCATAGTTCACTGTAATATTTTACATATAAAAAAATTTTAAAATGGTTTCCAAAATAAATTATTTGTGCATGGTTCATTTAGTTGCAAAGTATCACGTTGTACCAATTCAGTTTATGAATTACATAAAACTGGTCCATCTTATGTTATAATTGTAATATAAAATTGATCGCAACTTAATTTCTTAATTTTACAAGATTGATCCCAATTTTGTCTCATAGGATCATTTTAGATCAATTTTATATAGACAGGTGACTAAATCGGTGCACTACAACATTTGAGACTAAAATAATCATATACAAATAATCGAGACTATTTCGAAATTTAATCTTTATATAAAAATAATGAGAGAGAGAGAGATTTTGTCTTAATAGAACTATGAAAATATGGGTGAAATCATATAATAATAGACACAAATTAACAAAAAGAAAAGCATGATTAGGTAACATCCAAGGCCTAACAAAATTGAAAGCTTTGCTCACAGCATAAATTTTCCCCATCTCTAGACCTGTCAATTTCTAGCTAAACGGGTCGAAATTCCAGACCCTAACCCGACCCGTTATTTAACCGGGTCAACCCGAACCCGAGAATTTCGGGTCGGTTTCGGATCGGGTTTTCGGGTCAGATCAATTGTTGACAGGTCTACCCATCTCCATCTATTGCCTTTTCTTCAACAGTCATCTGCTGCGTATTATTCTAGGCCAAAACGTATTAATTTTTAATAATTATAAAATGTTAACTATAGTTCTAACATGCAAGTCAGGATGGCCGAGTGGTCTAATGCGCCAGACTCAAGTTCTGGTCCTCGAAAGAGGGCGTGGGTTCAAATCCCACTTCTGACATAAATTTATCTAATTTCTTTTAACCCCTTTTGGTAGTGGACAAATATTATGTCATAATTTTTCTTTTTTGAGTTTCATTGAGCATTGTGTGAAATAAAATTTGCAATATTTTTTCATTTAAATATTTTAAAGTGAACAAAAAAATGAAAATATGATTACTTTTAATTTAAATTTTGTATATCTTGAAAAATTTTGTGACTTATATATCTTTAATACATGGATCATTTAGTTCTTAAGAAGACGAGTTAATACCAATTTTGAATCTTATAAATCACAATTTTTTTAGTGATAATAAAATATGATGTACAATTAAGATTTATTTTGGTTGAACTAATCATTGAAATGTTTTTTATCTATTATTTTTATTACACTAGTGGTGTTGATAGATTATAGATGCACCCTCTGCTAGGCAGCAGTCATAGATAGAACCGCATTCAACACCTCCCCCAATAAATAGGCCACTTGTTCGAACACATTGATCAAATTGGCTTAGGAGCGAGATTATCCTATCATTTGTTTTATCAAATGAAGGTACCATATGATGCATCCATTGTATTGATCTCATGAGCTTAAATGACACCCTATATCACTTATTCTTATTTAAATATTTTATTGGGGGACTATTTTGAAAATCAAATCTCCTTAGATGCTAAATTCAAAATTTAAATATCAAAACTCTAACTTAATAATTTCTTCTTGAGTAGTGGGCTTCTATAATAAATCTTGATTGGGCACTTGTTTTAGCATTTACTGTGCTCTTGTAATTAGATCAATCAAGATTTATTACATTTAGTTGGGCTTCTTAAGGTAAACAACAACACTTTTCAAGTTAGTTAAGGATGGATTCACCAAACGGGATCAAACTGAAAATGTGGATATGCTAAGTTAACATTTCACATATGACTTGTGAATGAAGTCAGCGACGAATTTCCTCCTCTTATGGGTTAAAGACTCATCAAAAGGAGAAATTATTAGGTACGGAGTGCGGACGGGAGAACCGTCTGCACACTAGTATAAAACAGTGTTCGGTACCGTTCGGTACCACTCGGTACCGCTGGGTACCGCTTGGTACTCTGTGTCTGTGCAGACGGTTCTCACCCCGTCTGCACTCCGCACCTAATAATTTTTCCATCAAAAGAGAGCAAATCGGAAAACTATCTGAAATTATTGCGTGCGCTTACTAGACCATTTGGAGGTTAATCAGGACGCGCCAAATCACCCGATACACAACAGTATATTGTAATGATATTGCACATCATGATTAGTCTCCGGACAGCATCAGCTGACTGTGCGTAATAATTTTGCAAAAACTACAGCATAAGCGACAGGCTAAGCTATCCGAAAGCTAGAAATTTCAAGCCTAAGGAGGACGCCATCCTATAAAAACGTAGAATAAAAACTAGAAATGCCAAGTATGAAGGATTAGAAATGTTAGGCTTGGAGAGTATGCCAAGCTAGACAGCCAAAAACAGGGTTAGAAATATGTGAAGCTCTGTACGCACGGAAAGCTAGACAAAGCTTGAAGGACTTGAACCGTAAAAGCCGATGAGTATTCCAAACTAGACAGAAGAAGGAATATATGAAATGCCAAGCTAGAAAAAGCTTGAATAAAGACTGGAAATTTTATTTGAATGAATATAATCACAAAAATATATTTAACTTATATGACCTCTTAAATTTTAAGGTTTAAAGTTATAATTATATTTATGATTTTTAAAATAATCAATTTCTACACCATGTCATTCTTTTACTGTACCACAGCTCGATACCGAGGCTTGGTATCGCGGCATCCAGACATAGAGCTACATTGGGCGTCCGCACATAATAATCTCTCCTCATAAAGACCCTTAAACTGTAACAGCCCATATGTTGACAACAGACATTATAAATCTAATTTACCATAATATATATATTAGTGAAATCTCCTGTACATTAAATTTTGAACGGAATTAATATATAAATATTTTGATGAATATGATTTATAGTCACTTTTGCTAAATTTATTTGAAATGATAGATATCTAATGACTCTAACAAATTAATCGAAAGATAAAAATTAATAATTCTTTCAAATTTAGATCCTGAGATGTTAGATAAACTACCCCTACAAAACATCAATCTAATTATACAACAAAAATATTACTGAAAGCTGAGAATTTTGAATATTTGTAAAATATTAACGATAATTTTCTTTTAAATAGAAACATATTTAAGTTTGTTGCGTCCTAGAATATTCGCGGCGGTAGAGAAATATATGGTTAACGTCTTAACATTGTACGAAGATCTAGCACACAAGCAGATAAGAGAGGGGGTGAAACATTCATAAGAGACACCAGAGTTTTTACTTGGAAAACCCCTAAAAAAGGGGAAAAACCACGAGGCCTGGCCCAGTTTGAACGAATCCACTAGTATTTGTAGTCGATTACAAATGAGGACTTCTTAGGGAGAAGGCCTTGGCTTGATGTCAAAAATGTACATCATATATAGTGTATTACATGGTGGGAGTTACAATAGATGTATTTATTTTGTCAGCACGACCATAGTTGATAGGATGAGGTCGGAAAGACTGTTGACTGGTGATGGAGGTCGGAAAGACCATAGTAGGCGATGGAGGTCGGTAGGACCGTAGTCGGCAGGAGACCGAGGTCTAAAAGACCGTTGTCTGTTGATGGAGGTCGAAAGGACCATAGTAGGCCACAGAGGTCGGTAGGGCCATAGTCGACAGGAGACCAGGGTCTGAAAGACCGTTGTCTGGTGATAGAGGTCGGAAGGACCATAGTAGGCGACGGAGGTCGGTAGGGTTGTAGTCGGCAGGAGACCAGGGTCTGAAAGACCATTGTCTGGTGATAGAGGTCGGAGTGACCATAGTAGGCGACGGAGGTCGGTAGGACCGTAGTTGGCAAGAGACCAGGGTCTGAAAGACCGTTGTCTGTTGATGGAGGTCGGAGTGACCATAGTAGGCGATGGAGGTTGAAATGACCGTAGTCGGCAGTATTCTGGGAGAACTATGGGCATCAGGTGGTGGCCTGGTGGAGCTCAAGGCCTCAAGTAGTGGTTTGGCGGAAGTTTAGGCCTCATGTGATGATTTGGTGGAGCACACGACCTTTGATGATAATCTGGCGAAGACAAGGGCCTCTGGCAAAGGTGAGGGCCTCTGGCGAAGGTGAAGGCCGCTGGTAAAAGTGAGGGCCGCTGGCGAAGGTTAGGGCCTCTGACGAAGGTGAGGGTCTCTAGAGAAGGTGAGGGCCTCAGATGAAGACGTCAGGCCTGAAAGCTGGGCCTTGAGCAGAACGTCGGACCTGAATGTCGGGCCTTGAGATGGTGATGATGCGAAACTCCGGCGGTGGTCCGGCGAGGCTCCGGCGGTGGTCCGGAGAGGCTCCGGTGGTGGTCCGGCGAGGCTCCTGCGGTGGTCCGGCGAGGCTCCTGCGGTGGTCCGACGAGGTTCTGACGGTGGTCGAGGAGGAGCTTCTTCCTTCTCCTCTTCCTCTTCTCTTCTTGCTTGACTCTCCTTCTTGTGAAGAATGAGGGCTCTATTTATAGATTTTCTAGAGTGGCATAGCTCGTAAATAGGCGTGAGATCAGAGGCGAATAGGGAGTGGTCGAATGGACGACCGATATCGAATCCTACGATCGTGCACCGTTTGTTGGACATTTGAAGGTCTTAGAGATGTCGGAATTCGGCGATCTTGGGCTCGTTGGATTCTTCTCGTCGAGCCGTTCGATTCGAGTATAAGCTCGTTAAAATCAGAGATCGTTTGGTATCTCAAATTGCGGTATGAACCTTCTAACAGCGCTTCGGGTCCATGATTCAGACCCATTTGGACTTGGATCGAGTTGCATTTGGTGTCGTTGGGTTCGTATTTTCGAGACACTCAGTTCGACTGTAATTTTACTGAAATCGGAGTTCGGATGGTCTCCGAATTAATTTTTGAAGTTTCCAATTTGATTTTGCATCGAAATTTGCGCCCAGTTAAGATAATTTTTGTTGACGTATCAGTTGCCCTCCTATTTTCGGACATTGACGCTCCAGAAGTCCGAAAATTTGTGTGTCGACATTAAACATTGGCCGAATAGAAAAAAATTACGTTCAAAAAATGTAAATCTTGCTCAAACTCGATCATAGAAGTCCCGTTGAGTCCCGAAAGTGTCAAAATTGAGTCTGAAACGTCGAAAAACGTGTTAAGGGACCCCAAAAACGTCCGATTTGGACCGTCCTGGCCGAACATCGGGCCCGGACACGCTTAGGTGATCGAACCGGCCGGCCACCGGACTAATGGGCGCGCTGTTTGGGGCTGGCAGCCGGCAGTTGCCGGCTGCAAATATATATATTTTTTAACCGCGCGGCGGTTTTCCTTCAAAACCGCCCACTCCACTTCTTTTTTTTTTTTTTAACG